AAAAAAAGGCCAGGTGTGGTGGCACAAGCCTGTAGCCCCAGCTACTAGGGAGGCTGAGGCCAGAGGATGGCTCGAACTCAGGAGGTGGAGGCTGCAGTGAGCCAAGATCTCACCACTGCACTCCAGCCTGGACAACAATATTTTTTAATCTCAAAAAATAAATAAAAATAATAAAAGTGTGGGTGGGGGCGGGGCCAGAGCTGGGATGGAGCCAACTGTTAGCATCCCTTCAGGGCATGGCCACCAGAGGGCACTATCCAGAGCAGATCTGTAAGCCCTGCATTCAGCACTCCCTCCCCCAGCCCCAGTTGCTGCCAGCTGCATGAGGCCTACTGGGGAGGGTCCAGCTACGAGTTGGTGAGTCTTAACAGGCAGCGCAGGTGATTCCAATGCACACCCAGGTTCGGGGCCACGTGGACAGGGGGCTATTGCAGACAGGCCTGAGGCCCTCCTGAGTCTGATTGACTTGAAGGCTGGTTCTGGGCCTGGCAGTTACAGAGATTTGGTGGCAGCTCCTTCCCATAGGGCTAAGACACAGGGGCCAGGAATTCACCTTCCCTGCAGCATGGGAGCCAGAACAGCTACCTCAGGACCCTCTAAACCCCACAGCCGGTGTCTCTCACCCACAGAGGAGCAAGACCCAGTTCCAGGCAGAGAATTCAGGTTCCAAGACAACAAATACGAGCCAGATGCAGTGGCTCATGCCTTTAATCCCAGTGCTTTGGGAGACTGACATGGGAGAATTGCTTGAGGCCGGCGGTTCGAGACCAGCCCTGGCAATGTAGTGAGACCCCCCCCCCAACCCCACTGCCACCATCTCCAATTAAAAAAAAAAAAAAGACTCCAAATCAGACCAGCCAGCCTAGATGCCCAGAGAGAGGTGTGGGCGCACCCAGGGCCATGTCCTCGGTCAGGGAAGCCACAGCTGTGATGCAAGGGGGTGGCAGTGACAGTGGTAGACTCGGGATAAGATTCTTGGAGGGAGGGGGCCTGGGAGCTATACCAGACAGGGAGTAGCAGCTCTGTGTGGCCGACCCTCCACTGGCCCTAAGGTTTCCCTAAAGAATTGGAAGCGGGAGGGGGGCTTGGGAAGAGGACCCTCCTCTGTTAAGCTCCAGCACCATCCAAGGTCACCAGGGGCCCTGTTCCCATGCCCAGAAGCAGGGGAGGTAAGGGGCTCAGATTTGGCCATCCCAGGCCGCTCCTGGGGCCCAGCCAGAGGGGGCAGAGGAGCTGAGGGGGAAGCTGGGGGTGGTGGGGGGAGCTGGCAGGCCCAGCCCTGCAGGAAGCGAGTGTTTGTGCATCCGCCCCGGCGGAACCTGGCTCCTGATCCCCGACCGTGAGACCGCCTGTTCTTCCTTCCAGTCCGAAGGAGCTTACGATGTCATCCTCCCACGGGCCACCGCCAACAGCCAGGTGATGGGCAGTGCCAACTCGACCCTGCGGGCTGAAGACATGTACTCGGCCCAGAGCCAGCAGGCGGCCGCGCCGCTGAAAGACGGCAAGAACTCTCAGGTCTTTAGAAACCCCTACGTGTGGGACTGAGTCAGCGGCGGCCAGGAGAGGTGGGCAGATTTCGGGAGGGCCCTGAGGACCTGGCCCTGGGCAAGGGGCTCTCCAGGCGTCTCCTCCCCCTGGCAGGCTCAGCAGCGTGGGCCCCGGAGCTGGATGGGCCTCCCTTTCTGCCAGTGTTTGGGTGGATGTCCTGGGTGTCCCCACCCACTCCTCAGTGTTTGTGGAGTCGAGGAGCCAAGCCCGGCCTCCTGCCAGAGTCACCTCGGCGGTCTCACTCCAGCCAAATAGTGTTCTCGGGGTGGTGGCCGGGCAGCGCCTATGTTTCTCTGGAGATTCCTGCAACCTCAAGAGACTTTCCAGGCGCTCAGGCCTGGATCTTGCTCCTCTGTGAGGAACAAGAGTGCCTAATAAACATGTTTCTGCTTTATTAACTCTCGCTCTGGGGCTGTGGTTTCTGACCTGCGCTGCTGGCTTCCAATGAACCTCTCCTCCACCGTGGCCTGTGGGTGACGAGTCTTTCTCTTCCCTCCAAATCCAGCTCACATTTAAACCTGCTGCAGATTTCTCCTTTTGTGCAATTAAGTAGCTGATGCCTCTCCCCAGCGAACGATTCTTTAGCAGGTCCTCTGTATTGTGTGCGATCAGATTGAACACCCTGGCTCAGCGCGTGCCTAGGATGCAGTCCCGCACGTGGGCTTGTCTGAGACCAGGCAGCTTTCCTCTGGGACCCCCCTCCAGTGGCTGCAGGGACAGGATTGGGAAGGTGGGCCTTGAGCAGGTGTCTGTGTGTATAAGGGAAGATGAACTAATTTTAGCTTCTCCTGGAATGAATGACAGGGAAGATCCCATAGGGGACCAAGTGGAGACTCTTCTGATCCATGCTTTGAGATCACACCATGTGATACGTGCAAAGGAACGGCCTAGAGAGGGTCAGGAATTGTTTACGAATGGGTTGACAAAGGTGCAAAGGGTTGGGCCAGTTCTGGTTGGTTTCATTCCTGAGTGGTCATTTAAGTGTCCATCTGTGCAGAGCGCGGTGGCTCACGCTTGTAATCCCAGCACTTTGGGAAGCCAAGGTGGGAGGATCGCTTGAGCCTAGGAGTTCCAGACTAGCTTGGGTGACATAGTGAGATGCTGTTTCTACAAAAAAAAAAATTAAAAATTAAAGAATTAGCCAGGCATTAGTCCCAGCTACTCACGGGCCTGAGGTGGGAGGATGTCTGGAACCCAGGAGGTGAGGCTGCAGTGAGCCGTGATTGCACCACTGCACTCCTGCCTGGCCAACAGCAAGACTCGGTCTCAAAAAAAAGAAAGCCAGTTTGCTCAGTACTTTACGGTAAGCAAAGCCTTTCCTCATCAAGCTCATTTGTTTTTTAATTTAATTTTTTTTTTTTTTTTGAGACAGAGTCTTGCTCTGTTGCCTAGGCTGGAGTGCAGCGGCACAATCTCAGCTTACTGCAGCCTCTGCCTCCCAGGTGCAAGCGATCCTCCTGGCTCAGCCTCCCGAGTAGCTGAGATTACAGACATGAGCCACCAAACCCGGCTAACTTTTCTGTATGTAGTAGACACAAGGTTTCACTGTGTTGCCCAGGCTGGTCGCAAACTCCTGGCCTCAAGTGATCTGCCCACCTCAGCTTCCCAAAGTGCTAGGGTTACAGGCATGAGCCACCATGCCGGCCCACCAGCTCATTTTATTCCCCGAGGCTGCCCTGGGAGGTGGGCAGGACTAGTATTCTCTCCCTTTTCCAGACTCAAAGTCCCAGAACTATACGATTTTGGGGTAGGGCAGGGTCTCAGTGGTTATGCCGCGCCCTTTTACAGGTAAGCGAACTGACCCAGAGAGGTCTGGGTGGACAGGCTAAGACTCTGACGCCCAGCAGCCTTTCTCCGTGGTCCACGCTGGGCGAGCCAGTCCAGCGGGCGGCACTTCCAGCCGTGTGGATGAGACAGCAGGTTCCTGACCTTTGGACACTGGCTCAAGGCTTTGCCAGGAGGCTGCCAGGCCTGTCCCGGGGAGCCCACTCCTCCCAGGCTTGGGAATGTTTCTCCCCAACTAGTCAGAAACTATTTTCCTAATACCAGTTGTAGGGAAGAAATGTTTTTGTTGAAAGGGAGAGAATAGATGCTGGGAAGAAAAAATAAACTTCTCCCAAACTTCTCCTTCTATGTTCAGATTGCATTGGCCTCCTGGGGACTGAAACACTATTTTTAGGTAAAAACCAGTGCTTGCGCCCCCCCGCTGTTGACTCTTGTTCTTTCTGGTTACTTTAGGCTCAGTCCCCGCAAAGTAAAACGAGATGGTAGAAGCCCTCTTCCCTGGATCGCACGGCATCCTGATGTCCTCATTCCTCTGTACCCAGGCGGGGCCCAGCACCTTTCCCGTCCTTGTCATTGGAGCTGGGAGGGACCAGAGGCCACCGACCTGAAGCAGTGGACTGAGTGGGCCCCTGTGAAGCCCTGAGCATGTGACTGGAGTGCCTAGGGCCCCTCCCTTTCCTGCCCAGCCCATCTTCCTGGTCCCCAACTGGCTGCGGTGCAGGGTGCTGTCCCCCAGGCCGCCTCCATCTCCCCTCTTGACGCCCTCCCCGAATCATAGCCCCTGTGTCCCTGAGCTGTGGTTCTCCAGATGGCCATCCTCCCCATTGTGAAAGGCAGTCCTCAGTGCCCCATCGTGACTCTGGGCCTTCCTGGCCCTGCCATCTTGGTGTCTGGCATTAGCTTGTCCTCTGCCTAGATGGATCTCCTCCATGAGTCTTTGGCAACAAGCCGGGGCAGAAGTTGGCCCCTGCCCTTCTCACCAGGGCCTCCTGCCACCACCTGGACTGTGGAAGGCCACTGAGATGGGGGCGGAGCTCAGCCCAAGGCCTGGGCACACTGCTGCTCTCCGCAGCCTGTAGGTCCCAGATCTGAGTCCCTGGAGTGTTTCACTCGAGAGCTCCTTAGCCATCCACTTCTTCCATCACCAGCAAGCCAGGCCAGCCCTGCCTGCACTCTGCCCCCACTGCCCCTTGCCCTCTGGGACGAGGATGGCCACGCTGGGAAGAGGCAGCTCTCTCCATCCAGCACTACCTCATGGAGAGCTCACTAAGGATTTGGGAATGGCAGGCCACTCTGGCAACCGGGTTCAAGGTGGCTCCTGTGGCAGGAACAGGTGTCAATGGGCCTGATTCCCGGGATCTCACGGGTTCTGGGAATGCAGCAGGGGCCTCCTGTGGCTATTCCAACATCTCTGGTCAGGGCCTAGAAGCACCCTTAGGACATGCGGGGTCGGGTTCAGGGCTGCCTTCTCAGGGACCAGTGGAGAGCCCTGGACCAGATGAACTGGAGTCTAGGCCTCTCCTGTGACTGGGACTTGGATGTGGGGAGGCCCGTGAGATCCAGGTCTAAAGATTCTATTTCCTGATGGGCAGATATGTGAGTGGCATCCTCAGGTAAGTGGGACCCAGGACTAAAGACTGTGCTCTTTCCTGATGGGCGGAGGCTTTAAGTTTCTACCTCACCTTGGGCAGCACCTGGATGTGCCGGCGCTGGTTCATTCCTGGAGGAGCCTCTTGTGTTCCGGGCCCCTGGACATGCTCCAGAGGATCCTGATGGTCACCCAGGGAAGAGGGGGCCTTCTCAGGGCCTCCATGGTGCTGGCACCAAGGACAGAGATGGGCACAGCTCCAGGCTGGTGAAAATGGGCTCTCTTTAGCGTCGTCTCCTGGGGTTTTTCCTGCCCCTGGTACCAGACGGAGCTGACTTATCCAAGGTGGGCCCTGGAGCTGAGTCCTCAGCCCAGCAGCACCTCTGGGTGCCGGGGTGGAGGGTGGCGACCTAGCAGCACCTCCTCAGGGGAGGTGCCCTGTAGCCAGTCCCACCACTCTCCAGTGCTACCCCCGTCCCCAGCAGCCTGTGCCTTTGTCACTGGCATATTTTTCCAGAGCTAAATTGGGCACGTGGGACTGCAGCCCTGCCTGCGACCCCCAAACTCTGTTGCTGCCTTGCTGAAGTCCATGAACAGAGTGTCATTTCCCTCCGGCAGAAGGGAGTGGGGAGTTCCGTGGCCTCACGCTGCTCTTGGTCTAGCTTAGCAGCCCTAAGATCCCTTAGTGAATCAAGGCACTTTCCTAGCTGATAATTTCTTTCTTTTTCTTTTTCTCTTTTTGAGACGGAGTTTCGCTCTTGTCGCCCAGGCTGGAATGCAGTGGCGCAATCTCGGCTTACTGCAACCTCCACCTCCCGGCTCCAAGCAATTCTCCTGCCTCAGCCTCCGGAGTAGCTGGGATTACGGGCACCTGCCACCACGCCCAGCTAATTTTTTACTTTTGGTAGAGACAGGATTTCTCCATGTTGGTCATGCTGGTCTCCAACTGTGACCTCACGTGATCCGCCCACCTCGGCCTCTCAAAGTGCTGGGATTACAGGCGTGAGCCACCGTGCCCGGCCTCTAGGTGATAATTTAAAAGGAGTCCCTGGCAGTGCCTGATGCCCAGAGCTGCAGTCTGCAGTGGACGTGGGTTTGTGTATAGCCCGAGTCCTCTGGGGGTCTGTGCGTGAGGCTCAGGGAGGGATGGGTTCCTGAAAGGTACAGGCTGCCGGTATTCAGGAGTACCCTCCCACTGGCCCTGCTTACTCTGGCCTGGGCCAAGTGGCGAAGATGGATGAGTTCTTAGGAGGAGAGAGGCAGCTTCTTGGGGTGATCAAGCAGCATCACAAGCCTTGAATGGAGGAAAACTAGAAGAGGTAGAGCCTGTAGATTCACCATCATCCAGCCGACACCGTGGGAAACCTCACACCTACCACTGTCACCCCACGCGGCTTAATGCCGAGGACTTTGGACTTCATAACTGCTCGGAATTAAATGACCTTACCTTTGTGGGTGAGGGCTTACTGCCACTGAATTCCTGTGTGTTCATAAATTCTTCTGGGATTTACTAGTTTTGTCTTGTTTTCTTAAATTATTTTTAGAGACAGGGTCTTGCATGCTGCCCAGGCTGGTCTCGAACTTCTGGCCTCAAGTGATTCTCCCATCTCAGCCTTCCAAGTAGCTGGGATTCCAGGTGCCTGCTCCCCCACCCCATCCCCACCCTGCCTCTGAGATTTCTTCACATGTATTTCCCCCATATACCTCTTGCTTTTTACACCAACAAAAGCTGTTTGATTCCAGCTAACCTTTTTCTTTGTTGGGGATTTATTTTAAGGGGAAAACCAGGCCCCCAAAAACCACTGAGCGCTCAACCAGCCAAGGCCAGAGAACTCTGCCGCCTACATAAGATGTGGGTGCCGGGGAGGCAACCCCAATGGTAACCCTGTTGTTGCCTGTCATGGCTGGGAGAAGCAGCCAGGACAACCCATTGGGTGAAATTCTCCGTACACAGAAAGGCATGCCAAAGGCCAGGTGTGGTGGTTCACGCCTGTAATCCTAGCACTTTCAGAGGCCAAGGTGGGTAGATCACGAGGTCAGGAGTTTGAGACCAGCCTGGCCAATATGGCAAAACCTAAAAATCAGCCAGGCCTGGAAGCGCGCGCCTGTAATCCCAGCTACTCGGGAGACTGAGGCAGGAGCGTTGCTTGAACCTGGGAGGCGGAGGTTGCAGTGAGCCGAGATCGTGCCGCTGCATTCCAGCCTGGGTGGCAGAGACTCCCTCTCAAAAAAAAAAAAAAAAAAAGGCATACCAGAAGCAGGGATGGCTGATAAATCCCCCAGGCCATGAAGACCTGCCGAGCGCCATGCCCGGCTTTCCAGTTTACTCCTGTCTCTGCTCTTGTTCATCAGACATCCACAGCTCATAGAAGAGAGCAGGCAACGGAGGCTAAGTGCCTGCCTTGGGGGCGGGGAGGGGGGTGCTGCCTGGAAGCGTCTGTTGGCCCTCCAAGCCATTCTCGCCAAGGCCAGCACTTTCACTAGCCCCAGAGGACATGCCAAGGTCAGGCCCAGGTGCCAGGGACCCGCATTTGTTTCCTGTCTGCTGTCTCCACTCTGGGGCCTCCAGGAAGCTGCAGCCCCTATTCACAGCAGCTGCATGAATTATTTAGCATCTGCACCAGACTGGGAGTGCTCTGACCTCATCCTCCTTGGGCCCGGGGTGCGGCTCTGACCTCATCCTCCTTGAGAAAGGTTGCTGATCAGCAGAGGCTGGAGCAGCAGGTCCCTCTGGGGTGCGGGTGATTAAAAGAATCAATTCACCAGTGCCCTTGGAGAAGAGGGTAGGGAGCAGGGACCCATGCCCTCGTAGCAGGAGGCCACTCTGCAGCATGGAGAGAATATGACTCCGGAATCAGAGGCTGCGGGGTCAGGTCCTGGCTGTTAGTAGCTCTGCGACCTTCAGCAGCTCCCTTGGTCCTTCCTCAGTCTTCTCATCTGAAAAATGGGGGTACCAGCCCCCTGAGTTTGTGATTGGCATTCTGTGCCCTCGGGGTCACCCCCTAAAAGTCATAGCCAAGGCAGAGCTTCCAGGCACCATCTGCCTCGTGTTTCCTTCACAGACAAGCAGATCTCCCAGCCAGATTTCAGTTTGGCACCGCCTGGTGCCACATCCTCCCTTTCCTCTGCTGTGCCTCATGCCCTGGGTCCCCAGAGTGGGTGGCTTGGCAGGCTGCCGCGGCTGGAAGAGGATGCTAAGGCAGTGCCCATGCCTGATTGGCAGGGAAGAAGGGCTAACAGGCGTTAGGAGGGTCACCAGGTGCTCGGGAAGTCTAAGAAGCTAGGCTGAAGAGCTGGGATGGAACTGCTTTCTGCCAGCAAATGTCCACTGAGTGTCTACTGGGTGGAGGGGAGTGGGTGGAGAAGAGAGCGATCTGATCCCTGCCCTGCTTTGCCAGGTCAGGCCTGAGGGCTGAAGTGGGAGTGGCCATGGTGAGTCCCAGGAAATGCGTTTTGGGATTAAGCAGGCAGGTGCCTTCAGCAAGCTTCCACCATCCTCTTCCCAAGCGGCACTTTGGAGTTGGGCAGGGCGTCTCGGGCCAGGGCCAGGCTCCAGCTAGCTCTGTGGCCTTGGACAGCTCCCTTGACTCCCCAGGGTTTCCCCATCTGTAAAATGCACCCCATGTCTCCAGCTCTATCTAAGCCCTGGAGGTGGGGTTCCCAGCAGTGGAGAGAGGACGTAAAGCCCCAGGGCTGTGCCGCAGATGCACACCAGGGATTACGACTCAAGGTCTGGAGCAGAACTGGGAGGACATAGGCCCGCCGCCTGGCTGTGCTTTGGACAGAGAAGCTGGGTCCCGGGCGGTGAATGGGGCCAGTCCCAGCCCGCTGTCTGCCCTATCCCCACACCCCTCGTCCCCCCTAAATTCCTCTAAGCCAGGGACCCGGAGTTGGCTTTCTTCTGATTCGCCCAAAGGCGACGGTGGCTCGCCTCCCACCCCCCCACACCAACTCCACCGACGGCAAGAGAGGGACCGCGGAGAAAGTTTTACGTTGCGTCCTTAACCCAGCGTCCGGGTTGGGAGGGGGCGCGGGGCCCTGGAACCCCAACCGCAGACAGCCCACTCCCCCGCACACACCTGGGTAGGGGGAGGTGGGGTGAGCCTGAGCAGCCGGTGCGCCCACGTGCCTCTCCCGCTAGGGCCCGGCCACCCCAGCGCCAGCCAACCCGAGGCCGCCTCCTGCGCCCCACCCCAAACCCCGCCCCGGCCCCTGCAACCCGATCCCCGCCGCGGGGCCGCGGCCGGAGGCATCTGTCTCAGCTCCTGCCGCAGCCTGGGGGCCCGGCCGCCGCGCTCCGCTCCTCCCCGCCCTCGGCGCCGCGTCTCGTAGCCGCCGGGTTTTGCGGGGGTCGCATTCATCCCCCCGTCTCCCAGGCCAGCGCAGAAACGGGGGTGGGGTGGGTGACGCCAGGGAAGCAGGCCCTGGCCCCTTTTCCCAAGGGAAGAAGCCCCTCCTGGAGGCCTGCCGGGTCCTGGCGTCTCCGCGGGTGGGCGTAGTGGGGGCGGGAGCATGGGGAGCCCTGCGGCTGCCTTCGGTCTGGCTCTAGGCCAGGGTTCCTCGGCTCCGCCAGCAACATTTGGGCCGGATCGCTGTGTAGTGGGGTGGCCCCAGCACTGCGGGATATCCAGTGGCATCCCTGACCCCCTCCACTGGATGTCAGGGGCACAGCCAGCCCCCAAACCATGGCAACCAAAACTGTTTCTGGACACTGCCAAATGTCCACAGGGGGCAAACTGTCCGGGTGGAGACCCACTCCCCTAGGGTTTCACGGTGTGCATTTGAGGCAGCCACACAGGCTGGGGGCCTGGAACCCGAGGTCCCTGCATCCCAGGATTCTGGTGCTGGTCTCCCTGCTCCCTGCAGCTGCCAGCTGCTTCAACGGGCCTGGGAACTGTGACCCTTGGCCTGACAGTATTTGGGCAGCGTGTTACCTGCCAGGCCCTCTCACTGCAGGGACACCTTCTGCCCCACCCTGATGTGGGTGCTGGGACGGGGGATGGGACAGGGGATGCTGGAGGCAAGCCGGTCACTAGCAGTCAGGCGGGTTGGGGCACCAGAAAGA